CGTGTTAGCCTGGGCAAAAAAATCGTCGGGAACGAAACAAAAATCCAGGCTTTTCATAATACGGAAGGTAAGTATGAGGTCCCCTTGGAATTGTCCGTAGGAACGATGAAATAGGTCGAGCGTTGACAGTCTACTTTCATAGGGCAGTGTTCCTAGACCTTTGACCATTTTTGCCGCTCGCCTCTGGACTTTCTCTAAGACGGCACACTCTTTGACAGTTCAAGGTCTCCATGCCTGTATAGCGAATTCCAGGTGAGGCCGAACGAAACTTCTCAAAGATTTGGAAAAGCTGTCTTTTTTAAACCCCATAAAGGCTCGTCTAATCAGCTGTAATATAGATCTCGCCGACTTCGCCGCCTTCGTACAGTTCAGTGTTGGTTTGAGTGAAGAAGTAACCCACACACCCAAGTCCTTCTGACTTTCAACTTGTTGCAACGGTGTACCGTTTAAAGAATAGACCTTCTTGCTGGATGCTCTACAACCGCCGATTTGAAGAAAGTTGCATTTACTAACATTGAAGGGCATCAGCCAAAGCGTCGACCAATCCTCCAATCTGTTCAAGTTAGCATGCAGATGATTTTCTAAAGCTTTGACCAGTCCTCCAATCTGTTCAAGTTGGCTTGTAGATGGTTTTCGTCTCCCGTATTTTGGACGACTTTCCATAATTTGATGTCATCAGCGAACAAGGTGACGTCACAGTCTAGATCCCTGACACAGTAGTAAGCATAACTTATTTTACTACTTTGGTTGCGTTACCCTTGGCAATTATGAGTGTTTTAACTGAAGTCTATTAGCCTCAGCTCAACACGTGTGGAATATTCCATTTGTTTGCTAACGCGTAGTCTCCAGTATACACGTGTGGATGGATTCATCAGCCGAAGAGCCGGATGTTCTATCCAGAGGAATTTACTCCACAAATTAATTTCTGGGAAAATTATTGACTGTCTTCTTTTGGGTTACTATACTGTTCGCGGAGTCTTTGCATTTTGTGTCGTTTGGGCGCAAGCTAGTTGCTTTGGTGTCCTCCCCCACGCGAGACGCTACATTCTTGTGATAATCTCCTGGGGAGTCCCGGGCAATTACTGCTAAATTTTCGACTCAATGGTATTCAACAACACCTCTTCTCCAGTCGGTGATTACAGCCCTTTATGTTTTTCGGGGGTATAGACGACACGCCAACTGTCTGATTTGCAAACACGATCCATCCTCGGTAACATCCTGCCCGAGGCTATGATCGCTTTCCTGGAG